GCTTGAGCGAACATTCGGCAATTTGCGACGGTCGTATCTCCCGCGAGATTGTTATATAAACTGAAAACGCTTTCTCTTAATGAAGAATTTTACGCGAAAGTGTATATTTGCGCGTTAAATTACGAGGCTTAAGCTGACAATAATGAAGTTGAGACAGGCAAAAATGAAAATTGTGTTAAACGCGCTGCGTTGCTGTAAAGCTTATGGAGACGGAAAATTATCATAAACGATCGTATATTAACATTCGAGTCTCTTTTTACAGCCCTGCAAAATCGGCGCGCCGTCGTTTCGACGTGCAGTGCGCTAAATTCAACGACTGAGTATTCCCGGAAGACGGAAAGGTTCATCGTTGGGTGGCGTATATAATCTGCCCGAAGGTAATAAGCGATAAGCGATCTTCAGTCTCGCGCGTCGACTTCGTGACTTATCTTTCCTAGACTTGAAGGCGCCCGAAAACCCCTGCGCGCTTTACTGCATGAGCAAAACTAATCTGGTGACTTCGTTGAGACCGAAAGTGGTGGATGGTACCACGTGCTACAGAGGCATTCGAGATATCTGCGTCGGGGGTGTGTGCATAGAAATACCTTGCGACCTAGATACGGATTCCGATGCCATCGAAGACGTGTGCGGTGTCTGCCGAGGCGACGGCACCTCGTGCACTTTGAAGCAAGGAACGGTGTCATTTCCGGCTCAACCCCGTAAGAAAGAACGTAGTGCTAATATGGCGGTCTATTCCACTCCGCACTAATATTAGAATGAAAAATATTTGTTAGCTGTATACGAATGCAAATGTAAAGATTTTATTTTGCCTGGTTTTTCGAATACTAACGTCCACCTTTTATTTCACTTTTGCAATATTTTTAAATTAAAAAAATCTTTCAACCGCAAATATTAAAGTGAACTTCTGCATTATAAAAAAATATTCTTATAACATTTCGAAGATGATGGTTGAATTTTGTCAACGCCTTCAACAGATATTCCCAGTTTCCCAACATGTTTCTCTCACTTTCTGTCAATCCTTCTTTTGAATTTCTCATAATTTTCTTGGCGTTCTCGCTTATTATTCTATGTCGAGCGAATTTCGCAACCTGACAAAAATGCCGATGAACTTCAGTGTCGTCGGCACGACACGGTGAATAGGGAAGTCCGCGAACGAGAACTTCCGTGAATTAAAATTCCGCCAGAGCAGAAGTATAAGGCACGCGTTCAGTCTTGTTCTCCAAGAGGAATCCCAAGCAGTGCATTGAGAATGTGTATATGTATATATATGTGAGAGAGAGAGAGAGAGAGAGAGAGAGAGAGAGCGCAATTCGCGACAGCCAAATAAATCTTTCTACTGCGCAACAACGCGATGCTGCGCCAAAATTGGAATCTCGATGAATAATATCACAGGTGGTAGTTCTTTTTTTTAATAATCCTTCGAGAAAATTTTTATGTTAAGGACTCAAGAAAATAACAGACGTGCCGGCCGGTGCCAGAAATATTAGCGTCGAGGAGGCAGAACCGACCAAATCCAGAATCGTGGTGCGCACCAAAACTACGAAGATCGTGTTGATCGATGGGTAAGTGAAATTCTTTTTCATTTTTCTAACGCGCAATATCTCGTTCGTGATTATCTCGAGAAAACCGGATTGTATTTACTGCATGTCTGATCGAACGTCGCGTGTAACATTTCTAATTCGATGCCTTTCTTCAACCTCCTGCAGTGCTTCATCAACCTCATTACTGGCACATCACGCAAATAAAGGTACTTGTCTTACTCCGCAATTAACAACGCGATTATTTCAGTAACCGTCTAGAAATGTTCAATGTGCCGGGCTTCAAGGCGTGGCTGGGAATGATAAGGCCGAGGCAGGAAGCTTTGAATATACCGGGACCCATCACACAGAACTTGATTATATTGGTAAACATAATGAACTTCGCTAATTAGTCGCTACTCTCGGCGAATCGATAACGTATCTCAAACAAGGTGTTCGAACTTGGACATGTGCTATCGGCAAGAATGCGCAAAAAGAAACACTCTCGAGAACATTTTATGATTCATTTAAAATCGTAGTACTGCTATAATCAGCTGCTATAATCTTTAAAGGAAGCGAGAATTCAGGTCTTTTTTCCAAATATAATTTCTAACTCGTGCCGCGACGCGACGCGACGCGAAGAAAGTTGGCGACGTCGTTTTACGAAATGACTAAAAATTAGTTTTTTTATTCCAAAGACCGTCTTTGGAATAAAGTCATAAGCGTAGTGTCCATTGTCCCGCTTTTATGTCGAATTAACTGCCAAGTTATTTTAAAAATTACATTAGAGAGAAATTTAATTTTATCGCTTCGCAGTATTTCCTTTGAGAGCTAGTTAATCTACGACAGGTTTTAGCAAAGGAGAACGTCATGTTGAAATCCTCATTAGGATTGAAGCAACGAGCTCCCTGTAAACCCGAGTTCTCCTGGGATTTCATCGACTGGGAGAAATGCTCGGCAGGTTGCGGCCCGGGAGAGCAGATATCGAAACCACGTTGCATTGAGAAAATCGGCGGATTGGCGGACGATAAATTTTGCAGAAACATCACTAAACCGGACGTAAAAGTCAGACCATGCAATCGAGCGCCCTGCGGCATGTTTATATTTTTACAATTTTCTGCATTAAAAATATTTATAGAGTTATTAGATCTCGTACATCAATAAGAAAAAGTAACTATGACTTTTAACGAGCTTCAATATGGTGAAGTCGAAATTAATTGTATGTAAAAGAACTTACGTCAAGTTCATTCATTTCTGCAATAATAATTTCAATAATGATCACAATTATACATATTATATCGCCCTCATATCGTTACTGCATTTCGTTGATCATATCATGTCCATGTGTCGGACAGAATTGTCACTTTTATCTTAAGGAACTAACGAAGGGAACATGGTACGCGATAATCGCCGACGTCCCGCCATCGCCGGCTAATTAAAAGTCTCGCTCTTATCGCCGCGCGCGATTCCAGGTGGATCATTGGCGAATGGCATGGCTGCACACAGCGCGCGCCGGGCTGCAAGAGAAGGCGCGCTGTCAAATGTGTACGACCCGTTGGCCGTGGCGAGCAGGATCTCGACGTGGTCGAGGACAGCTACTGCCAAGGACCGAAGCCAAGGGAGTCGGCGCCTTGCGAAGTCAGCCGACGAAGACGTGAGAACAGAGGTGCCGCCGACGGCAAGCGCGGGCTCTTCTCCGCTCGCTCGAGCACGCTAACGCGACAAATCGACTTCATTAGAGCTGCTCGAGCGCCCGCTAAGGCGACTTTAAACGGCACCGTCGCGGAGGACCGGCAGCATCCGGATGATCTCTCAACGCGGGCAGGACAGATTGGGGATTCGTCCGATCGGCATCGGGTACGTTAAATGCGCTTCCAAGTGAGACAACGGGTTTAATTTCGGCGGACGCGATACGAAATTCGGCTAAGACTCGTCGAGATTATCGTTCTCGGACGGATATAAGAGATCGGGAAACGCATCGAACGACAAGACGAAGATGAATTGCGAATAGGATTAAGAAGGGTGAGGTAGTGATCGATAAGGAGGACATTCGGAACCTAACGCTCGGAACCTAACGATTATTCTGGTACGCGATACGGAGAAGAACGTCGTCACGAATTTCCCGAGGGATTTTGAATCCCGTCCGCCGGGGAATAGCACGGAATTCACCTTGGTCGGTGCACGGACGCTCTCAGATACATACAAAGAATTCAGGAAGAAGCGCGGCGCGCGTCACCTCTCGAGGTCACGATTTTTCGCGGACGACGTGCATGCGATATACGCGATGAAGTAGATCGATGGCGCAAATGACCGTGGGAAGTAACTCGAGCGTTCCTCCGACGGCGATGAAAGAGAAAAGAATTTATTATCATACGAGGACATACGTGGATATACATCGATTACTCTCGCGTAGAGCGTATGCTCTCTTTCGGAACGGCATCCGCGGCGCAAACGTGTGGAGAGAGAGAGAAAGACAGAGAGAGAGAGAGATAGAGCGCACGCGTCTGGAAGACGAATCTGCGTCGATTCAAGCGATGGTTATGCGATCCATCAAGGAAAACTTTTACGAGTCGTTGAGTAGAACGACGGTGCGCTGGCTCTCGAGCACGTACCGCGCGGCGCGCGTGCAGATTGCCCGATGCTCGAGGCGATAAAAACAATCGTTATGTTATACGACCGAATTATACTTACCGCGCGCGCGCTTTTATACAGGCGTATCGTAATTTAACGATCGGACACCACAGAGAAAACCGCCGGCCCACGTCGATTGTTGGGAGCCGCGTTGGGAGTCGTGCGACGATGAATCGCCCGATTAAATCAGCGAACGTTGTTTGAGTCCCGGCTAACACGGCCATAATTGACGGTAAAGCGGCGATAGATTTGCTAGAGAAGTCCGAAGATAATCTCTCAATATGCGGCAGTACGTACGCGAGGAGGACGGGCGACATAAATTACACCTGAACGACGGCGAGGAGGATGATTTTCCCCGCGACCCACTAACGAGTCCCGCCGTTGAGCATTGATCTTTGAGATTCATCGTTCGCGTCGTTATTTATGGCGGGAGCGATACTTTGTAATGATCCGAGATTGCAGACGTTCGCCTTCCCCCTTAATGGGCTCGTGTCCCGGGGGTATCGCAGGGAAATGCCTGGGCGCGCGCGACATTTTCTTGTACCAATAAAGATTAAGTGGTGAAAAAAAGTGCGCGCGAGTCATTAATCTTGAGTCCGCGTACTCGCTCCACGTACGCGGGTTCCACAATACGGACGTCCGCTTGTGCCTACCGAGAGCGTCGCGGACGCGAGACGCGTCATATCGCTGGACGATATTTTCTATTCGCCGCGCGCCGCTTTTCGTATTACCTATACGTTTTATTTGACTTGACGGCCTTCATCCCGTCAGGCTAATCAATCACGTGTTACATGAATCAGCAAAGAGCAAGTCTCTCGTAACAGAATGTGTAATGCTATAGCTTTTCGATCCGCATCTAAATATTCATATATTTCTGAAACTTATACAACTATAAGTTTGTATACGACGACTATATACGAAGATAACATTTATCGCAGCGTTTAATTTTTTTTTTCTTCCCGTGCTCAACGCCTTTCCTCCGCGGTATCGATGGATTGAGATGGATTGAGAGCCTCGTTCGCGGCAATAGAAACAGCGCGCGGACTCGCTGTCAGATTATGATGGGCTAACCGTTCGATAAGTCTAACCGCCTGATCGCCCCTGTACACCTTCTTCTGGCTCGTGTCGATGCCGACGCCGACGAGATCGCCGGCTTCCTGGAACGCCTTGTCCGACAGATTAGACTGAAGAGACTCGTCTATGTACGGCGCCTGCATCAGTACAACGTTCTCGATGGGTATCGAATCCTTGATGATGGATCCCGGCTTCAGCGTAGTGAATCTCTCCTCGGCGTCGCAGGTGCGCTTACGCTTGTCCTCGTTTGTCATCGCCCAGTCGTAAAGGACCTGTCGGAAGTCTCGGGCGGCGCCCGTCCCTTCGAGCTTGTCACCGTCGTCGCGCAACTTGTCGCGGGTCTTCTCCAAGTAATGGCCCAGGCCGCGATCGACGAATCTGTCGATCATTCTCCGTTGATCGTCCGGTGATAAGCCCGCTCTCCCTTTCACATCCGCGAGCTCTCGCTCGTCGGACCGTCGGGTTTTCTTAGGACACATTATTTTGCAGGGTCTTGTACCTGTGTGATTCACGAACGCGTGAGAGTTTTCTCGACAGAAATTGACAGAGATTGTCGCAAAAGCCTTTTGTGTATTTTTATTTCGAGTTAGAATATTAGAAAAATATTACGAGCTCGAAAGGCCACGATTGTACCTATACACTCCTCCTTCTGCCTCGGCACACGACCTTTGCACGCGTCCAGATTTGCTTGCGTATCGTCTTCCCCGGGTCTGGCACCTGGCCTCACGCATTGGACCTTGCGGTGTCTCATACCCTTCTTCCCATCGCAGGCACTGCATTTACTCCATTGACTCACTCGCCATCTGCACGTACGACCGGCGACGGACATGGATTTATTTGCTTTACATTCAGATTCGTCGAGCGGACGCTAATGTGCGCGCAAAACGCTAGATCGATGTTTATGCGACGCTGAGTTAACATCTTATTTATCGGCGAACGTATGCGGGCATAGGTGCGCAGTACTACGTCATCGTTAAAGAAGGAACTAAGATCGATGGAGCGGAAGCCAATAGCGTTCAGAGATTTTTATCTCAACATCGTGGGTATTATTTGAGCTGTTGTTGTTGAACGGAACAGTTATGTTTTCTAGCTGCTAAGGCATAAAATTTTTTCTGTCATTACGTGTTGCTCTGATGTTGCTGCAAGATCCAGCTACTAAAAATAAAAGAGCGCTAATGCGAAAAATCTCGAATTTTATACTACGCTATATAATAACGTATTTATATATTTTTTTTAATCTTATTTTAACAGTTAATACCGTTTTTATTAAATACATTTTATTTGTCAATTTAAAAACACTATACTGTTCCGCTCAACGAATTATCTTATTACGTGAAATTATATTAACGACGCATTGTCTATGTCTACTGCGCGTAACTTGCGACGTACTGGAACTCGCGGCTTACTTTGCGGGACAAGGGGCCTGATTGCAGACGCGGCTCTTCGCTTCCGGACGCGGCATACCGTCGCAGAAGTTCGGCGTCACCCGCCCGCTCTGTTCCTCGATGCAGGACGCCTCCGATATCTGCGCAAAATCGATGACATGTCCTTCGCATAAAAGCGGTCGCATTCGCGGTCGCATTAGGCACCCGCGCGCGCGTGTAAACGTTGTCACATAAATTACCATTGTGCCGCCGTCGCACTTAGCGCTGCATTCTGACCACTCGATGAAGTCCCACATGTACTTGGGCGTGTACGATGCATTCGTCGATCTCACGTAATATTTATAATCTATCCCAGGGTTGTCTTGGGGATTGAAGAACGCATACTAAAAGGTCGAAAAGGCAAAAATTATGTGATAAACTTTTTTCTAGGATTTTATTAGTGTAATGTAATTTACACTAAAAATTACAGAACTTTAATTAAATGACGATTATTCGAAAAAATTAGTTTAGTCTACAAATTGTTGATTATGAATTGTGAATTTATATAGATATAGATATATTATTATTAATTCACATACCAATTAAAAGACATAAAGATAAAATACTCGTAACGATTTTGCAAAAAGAGATAATTTGCAATAAATAAATCTATACTCTTACAAAAGTTAGAGGCCGCGAAATAAAAGATATATATTCACGGTATTGGATTTTTATACGGTGGAGTACCTATATATATATATATATATCTCGCGCAAAACCAATAATTACGTCGTGTGTACGATATCATATCGAGATAATCGTTGGAAAATGAACACGATTTACTTCTATCTCGATATCTTCGGATATCGGGCCTTTCATTTCCACTACTTCCTTGTCCGGCTCCGGATGTGTGTAGATAATCATCGTTCCAGCGCACTCGTAATCTCCGCTCTTAAACTCACGGCTACGACAACGTTCATAAAAGTATGCCGTAAAAATACGTTATGTGCTTTATCATCGTTACAGAAAGCGTCTGCGCGTATCAATTTTCCCCGGGATGTTTATGTGCGCTATGGGCGTTATAAATTAAGGACAGGAAAAGGGAGCAAAGAAAGGGGAGCGAGTCGCGCGCGCAAGAGTTTGCAGAAGCTCACTTGTCTCCATTGATGCAGTACGTCTTATCTTTTTCGAGTTTCACGGCCAGAATGTTCTCGCTGGGCTTTCTCTCGGAGACCTGCACGCTTCGGGCTCCCCTCGGAATTGTCACGATCTTCACATATGCTGCGAGGAAAGAGGGGGCGATGTATCACGGGAAAGAAACTCGCGCGATTTTATTTGACATGCCGTGAGCACGATCTACTGAATTTTTACCGCTCTCCGACGCCACTTCGGTAAACTCGCCCACCACCGGGCTGCACTTGGTTCCATCGCCTTTACATATGCCGCATTTATCCTCGATCGCGTCCGAGTCTATCACCCAATCGCATCCAACTTTCTAGTGCGAGAAAGTGTCACAATAATTAACATCATAAATGTCAGGCAAGTAAAATCAATTTTTTTTTAAAGGTATTCGTAAAAAAAGATAGAGTAGTTTCTTTAATCAAATATTGATGCAACTATAAATTTTTTATTGTCACTTGTTATCTTTTATATATCAAGTCTTGGTTACTCTGAATTACACTACATGTAATTTCAGTGAATTCACATCGTTAATTAATGGTAGACTGCTAATGCTGGCTACTAAAGTAATTACAAACGCGCAAGAAACCTACTACCTAAATTTAATTTTGCTAGAGTACCGCAAAAGCTGTCGCTGCAAAATAGACGCGTAGATACTTACTGTACATATGCTAGTAATTATTTTAGATGCATTAATTTGATTACGTGCACGCATTTATGCTTTGTAACAAAGCATATAATTTCCATTAAGTAGGAATTTCGAACTTTTGAAAAAATTCCTTTAGAAGAAATCTCAAAAAAAAATAATCGATAAAATTCGAGGACACAGAAAAGCCGGAGAAATAATTATAAATGAGGGCTTTTTTTAATTTATCATATATGTAAATTATATATTAATAAATATAGATATTTCTTAAAACGGCAAATTGAATACGAGAAGATACTGGGAAGATTTGACGTTTTTATCTGGTGGATTTTATCGCATCAGCACGGCAATCCCAGAGCGCGGATAGTAGAGATTTTCTCCGGCAATGCGGTTCTATTTCAAAAAGTTACAATTTCACACCCTGCACGTTCCGGAGATGCACATGTAGTTGGTCCCGGCCTTGCACGGTGTCGAATCGTTCGCCGTCGGCGAGATCTTCACGTACGTTTGCTTCTCGTTGATGCAGTGGAGCGCGCAAGGTTCTAATTTCGGGTCCATGTATGGCTTCCATTGATGAAGCCCGTCCGTCAGGATCTCCTCGTTGTCGTGTTCCGAGCACTGTACCGCACGGTACGGCGGTTTCGTCGGGTCGCAGGGCTGCGCAATTTAACGCGGAACGTTACGGCAAATGTGTGACGGAATTCCGTGCGGGATGGTATACGGGAGAATTGCGACAGCGTAGAGAATCGTCGTACGGCTAAAAAGAATTAAAACGTTTCGCCGAGCTCCATCACGGAGATGCTCGCGGCAATGATAGTCTCTTTTTCTCTCTCTCTCTCTCTCTCTCTCTCTCTCTCTCTCTCTCTCTCTCTCTTTCCATTTCGCTCTCGAACTGAATTTGTGACAGCGTGTTGTACCGCATGCGTCACTATGTAGTAATATGTAACGCGGCATCTCTCACCGTTGGAAAACGTAAAAATCCCGTAAGCGTGTGACGACACAATATTGTCAGCCACCTCCGTCCGTAATAACGAAAATATAAGACAGAGACACGACTATCGCCGGTATGCCAGCCTGGAATGTGCAATTCGACTGGCAGCTTGCAAAACCGTCGAAATAGCCCGTCGAAATAGCCGTAGGAGAGGAATCGCGCGGCGGTTAACGTCGGGGGAGGAAGGGGGGGGGAGGTATCGCGATGAAGCGAAGGGCCGATTATACTGAAACTCGCGCGCGCGAGGCGATGGCACGCGAGGCGTGCGACGCGAAGATGGATGCAATTTACCGTGGTGTTGCAAGTGAAGAGCCGTCTTCTCTCGCCGATGCAGTATCTGCCGCTGTTGGCCGGTACCGGCCGGTCGCATTCCCTCTCGGAGTACTTGAGGCCGCCGCCGCAGGTCCTGCTGCAGGAGCCCATCGGGCCCCAGTCACCCCATCCACCGTGCACCGCGGCCGGCCGGGCGCCCATGTCCACGCATTTCTTGTGGATGCACCACTATATAGATTTCGCGTGAAAAAAAACGCTCTCTTTATATCACTTTTGTCCCGCGGGTTATAGAGAAGAATGCAATATGTCTCGCGGGCTACTCTACCCCTCCCCCCCCTCCCCCGCGCCTCGTGCCCTTCACGCGAATACCAATTTTCAGCGCGGAGAGTCGCGCGAAGTTTCCTGACACTTCAATTTATTTCCCCGGCGCGATTAAATCTACGTCCGCGCCGTCGCTCGCGAGCGCGCCGAAGGCGACGAAATCTACATCCGCGAGAAGCGACGCGCGCGAGGGAAGGCGCGTCGTTTAATAAATCTCTCTGCTTGCAGAGAACGAGGGAGGAAGGGTGGCGGCAGGGGGAAAGAGGAGGGGCGGGGGAAACGCCCTTTTATTCCGCTACGTTTCCGGCGGCGTGCCGGGACGCGGATCGCGAGCCTCGTAAATGGGCTTTCGATCGTGTCGAAAGCCATTTGCGTTCGCGTTCGTTTGATAATTGATGTCACCTCGCAGCGACATATTATTTACGTCGTCGGTTATATCTGCGGATGCATAAACAACAACCGCTAAGCGGTTGCTAAATAATCCGCGCCGAGAATATATATTTTGCCGGAGGAACTGGTTCTACCTAAGCTCTGCGCGCACCTTGTTCTCACCGCACTTCGTACCGTCAGCCTTCGGCGTCCCCAGGGAGTAGCAACTTGTGTTGGTCAAGCACCACAGGGTCTCGCAGCCGCTCGCCTGAAATATACACACGGTCGCGAAGAGAGCCCTGCAGGTTAATCAGATTAGTCTTAAAGGAATAGGGTGAGAGACTCGCAACTCAAATGCGATATGGAACTGTCATTTTATAAACACTACAATCCCAAAATTCGATAATGACGGAAGCAGCTGTTACGTGGCGAATGTAACTTCGTCGAATAATTTATTTACAAAACGAATATTCCGTTTCTGCGCGGGATAATCGAATACATTTTGTCCGAGTAAATATAACGAGTAATGCATAAAAGCCATTTCATTTCCGACAAGCAAATAGTAGATATAAAAAAAATGCAGATTGAATACATACAAGTGGTATGTAACAGTAAAATTATTGACGATTACGAAGAGGAAAATTGAATTTCGCTTAAATAACAATTTGCGATTCACGATAATTTGATCGAAAACACTAAAATGCAATTAAGGTGTCGCACAGTTTATCAAAACTTTACTTGAGGTTGCGGGCACACTTTCGAGCCAGGAAACTGCATGTCACATTGGAAGGCAGCGTCGTACATTGCACCCGGCAACATGTTAGGATATTTTAATTTCTCTGGGGGACTTCTTGGATTATCATTCAAGCATTCGCCCAGGCCGCTCCTTATTCACAAATAAATTTTATCGTGAAATAAGTTATTAAAAAATTATATATTTCAAAATAATAAATATAAAAAATGGCCGTTTTTTATAGATATTTCTAGCAATTATTAATAAACAGCAGGAAATCGAATCCTCATTTCAAAAATTAAATATATTATATTATACTGTAGATTTATTAAATAGATTACAGCAGCAATTAATTCTCTGCTGAAGTTCGATAATAATATTATGAAATAATTAATAGACGAAATTTATATACGAATGTATTGTAGAAATATCCAATAAAGTGAAATAATATTGACCAATTAGAAATATAATTCCAAATATATATCTACTGCATGGAATAATATTTTCACCGAACTATATATTAAGCGTGTTATACATTTGCATAAAGCCGTACATCATTACATCGCACAATTATAAAGCGACCATAATTTATGCACCGTCATTACTTATACAACTCGGTTTACTCGAGGAAAGCTGTTATAAATTTCCTGCTGCAGCTCGACCATCTGATGGTGTACAAGAAGACGATAGGGGACATAATAAAGAAGCTATCGTCCGTGTCCTTCGACGGACATCCGCTGGTTTCGGGCTCATCGTGAGAACAACCCATTCTATAAAATAGCGTTTTCATGAAAAATCAGACAAGTCTTTGTTTAAAGAATTTCTTGTTAAAATATAGAACACTGAACTGTTACATCTCCAATTATTATACTATTGCGACAATTGCATAAAGTGGCTACAAAAAATTTACGATATCTAAATGTTAAAACAAAAAGCTTATTTTATTCTGAAAAATTGCTCGTATTTCTACTCTCTAAGAATTTGGAACTTTTATCGCTTCCCAAAGACATTTCAAACGCATTTAATTATGATTGACATGCATGGACAGTACACGTGACCAACTTCGTGGGCAATCACGATGCCGAGCAGAAGTCCGCTGTCTTCATTAATGCAGGCAGCCTTCCCCGAGTCGCAGGCCGCAGCGACATGAGCCAGGCCCATTAGGTCGCAATTGGTCTCTTCCGAGCAAATGTCATATCTGGGAATACATGCGAGTAGCAATAATGCAATGTGCACCGGCAATGGCGATTAGATCGGCGTAGATCGGTATCTAGGAAAATTACCTAGTAACCAATACCGCGATATCGTAATGATTGGGATGCATGTCATCCTTCGGATTCATTTTTTCTGCCCACTTTGCGAAACTCTCCAACGTATTCTCGGCATTCGGACTGATGAGCAAATCTATCTACGAGCACATCGAGACTCAATAAATTGAACGTTAACGTCACGGCGTAAATGTCGTCTTTAATCTAATTAAGCTTTTGTTTTCTTAACAAAATGAAAAGCAATACTACATTTAATACTTCTATTATATATATAATTGATTAATTTCAATCATTTATTTATCTCAGCTAAATAATAATATTAACGACATTTGCTGCGGCAGTACCTCCCTCTTTTTCTTATCGGACACATTTTACGTGGTTTATCTTACGATCACACGTTACCTCTTCTTTCTCTTTCTCCAAGTACACCACGCGCACTAAGACGACGTCTATTTGATTCCCCACGGAATTGTCGTGATAAAAATCAGACACCATGTTCATGACCGTCAGGAGATACTGCTCGTAGTCTGTGTTATTGTGGAAATCGAGGAATCTCCGATCGGCAATTAATCCAATTTCAATGTAACGATGTATACTGTGCGTTCCCGTTGATACGGTGGTATTGCGCCTCGCGCCGAGAGAATTATTTTCCATTAGTTGCATCTGCATCCTTTTAGCCAGCTGCTCCGCCCACGCGGACTCCCAGTTGTCTGTTAAAGCGAGAATGAGCTTCCACAAACTACGCGCCATTATTTGTCACTTGCGCGTAACTATGCGAAATCCTCTCGCGTTACGGTACATAATAAATGTCCGCGACATGGGCTGGGGAACTATATCGTCTCGAGTTAAAGTGAAATGTTAAAGTAATAAATGATGGGATATACGCCTGACAATGCCTAGTTTTGTAAATTACTCTTAGGAAGGAGAAAACGGGGGATGAGGATACAGAGAGCTGAAATATTTTGAGGAGGTTACTGACCGCTGGTTCCGCAATGTCTCTTCGATACGGTATCGGTATTCCCTGTCTTTTCGTGCGGCGCGTCCCGTTTGTACGCCACGTGAATGTGCTGGCCGTCGGGCTCGGGTTCCGCCTGATACACTGGCTCGATGAAGTACCGTCCATGATTAGTTTGCACGTAGCCAGCCTGCGCGCGAGAGAGGTGTGTCGCGTTGCCGATAATAATATGAAATAAAATATCGACATTCATGTTTACGGGCATGACATATTAGTTGGCTGACGTAAAATTTCGCTTCGTTGTGAAATTTTCATCTCGCAAAGATCAGCGTTGCGATCAGCATGTGAAATTATAATCGTAAACGCTATCGCTTTCTCGTCTACACAACGTACATTAAGATTTATGAGTCGAATTAATTCTACCGGGATTTCTATCTGGTCGGATTATTAGTTTTAACATTTAATTTCGACGTAGATAACTTGTGCCACAGATTGGAACCACGTCAAGAGATATCCTCAGTGCGATATACATTATTATGCATCGAAATGCTGTGCATAGAAACTGATAGACTCGATTATATTCGTCGAGTAGACGTCAGAGTGGAAAAGGCCAAACGCGCCGCATTCTACGTGACATTTCGTTTGATTCGCGCGCCGCTCCGTCATTTAGAAAAACCTTTACGTACAAAGCCTGCATTTAACGGGTCACCTGTTACGGACGCGAATGTCGCTCGTCGATTCGTTTCGCTGCAAATTCGCGTGACCGGCGGAAAATCGTAGATGGTAATCGCGGCCTTAGTCTCGGCATGCGTTGCGACGCCTTTACGTTTAATAGAATCAACTAGGCATTCCACCCGCTTCGCGCAGCTTGCAGCGCGTTTATCTGCACGCGTAATCGTTCGCCTTGTAAAACTTTGAAAATAACGAGCCGCGGCGGAAAACTACTTTCGAGGCTATTGAGGGTATCACACCGTATATGCAACTATTGCTTCGTGTATTCAACGCAAATACCGAGCTCGATACGCGATGTAATCGAGAAACTCAATTTTCTCTAATGCCACAATCGAGCTGCAGTTGAACAAAAAGAGGGGGTTGGGGGGAGGGGAAGATGCGCTTTTTGCGAAAGTATCGGAGTGCGCGCTCGCGACAGCTCTGACGCGATTCTTACTATCGTCCGTTCCATTTTTCGGAAAAAGCCGGCCGTCGCGAACCTAATCGAACCGACGATATGCAAGTGGTCGAAGTGCAGCGTGCCACGATGAATATTGCGTCACTGGTAACACCGCGATTGAATGCCGCTGCGTGACGCACGTGTTTCGCTGCACCGCTCGCAGTTTACCCAGGATCTCGACTCTTTTATTACGCACTTAGAAATGTGCATGCTGATATCGTGCATTTGCATATGCGGATCGGCACGCGTTGCCCTGCGATGTCATCGATTGTACATACGTGTTTATCGATCTGTTTTTATTCTCGTAACGGTCGCAGATGCTGAAATGCGCGATGGAGAAAACGACGATTCTAAATTCGGTATAAATGCATGAAATTTGCAAGCGATATAAATCCTGTATTAATTACACACACACGAATCTAGATATAAATCTACAGACCGGCCAAAAATAACATCAATATGTATCTCAGTATAGACGTTTAGCAACCTATATGTGAAAACGTGATGTGTTACTGAAATAACTTTTAGCATCGTTTATCAGAGTGCATTGTTCCAAATTACGTCACAAGTTTTTGATTCAAACTGCATCCTGCCTAATATTATTGCATCGAGTTTGACGAACATAATAAGAGAATATCGTGATGAAAAATGTCATATCATTCGCATCGAATTTCGACGAGGAGATTTAGAGAATGTGCACCAGCACAAGCTTTCTACGCTATCCGTCCGACTGCGCTCGCGGTTCTCCTCTTGCTTCGTTAACGTTAATCTCCCGAAGGAATCCGTGGAACGCATTATGTGCACCAACTACGCTCGTAGCCACTTCGAAATTCTGTTCCATCTCTCAAGCCCTCATCAAAATTAATAACAAACCATGCGAACCGCGCGCGCGCAAAGATTAAAATCCGACTCGCTACCGAATATATATATATATGTTACACCAATTGACATTCATCAATCTGAATTAATTCACTTGCCTCACGAAGAGACAAATAAAATCAGGTCACGTAATCATATTAATTAATTTATCTCTGAACGCATAAACGATCAATTAGTAATTATCTCTGTGATACGTAATAAGTATATCACGAATGGAAACCAATTAATTCACAGATTTATCATCGAAGGACATTTATGTTATGAAAATCTGAAATCCAAAGGCAAAGAAGGAAGGACATTTGTGTAGCGTGAAAGGCGTTAGTGCGACAAGGCATAAAGCGTGCCTGAGAGATTCTTTTTTCGGTTCGTTAACACCGAAGGAAGGTGTTGCACGACGGTGTACTGTATCTATATGTACTAACCACGCCGTCGCACAGAGACAGAGCCGCCTTGGAATTAGCATGGCCCCGAACGATACCGCGATAGTGGCACTGCCGATCGGACGCCTTCCTGAATCTCAGGCCCTCGTTGAGATTAGTGCTGATCCCGGCGCCCCGCGTCTCCACCACCATGTCGGGCGAGATGAATTCATGGTACGGGCTGAGCTCCACGTGGTGATCGATCCCGCTGAAGGGTAGCACCAGGTGCAGTTTATTGGCCGACCCGAGGGATCGCTTGCCGCGCTCGCTGTACTCTCGACGGTTATAGAAATTCGGCAGGGAATACGTGCTGAAGCTACCGTCTGAGAGCACTCGCCTCGGCACCAAGAGCTGCGGCCCGTGGATGTCTCGGGTGTACCTGGATCGTTCGTTTGAAAGGGACAATTTCATCACCGACGATGACGTGACGAGGACGTCGCGAATAAAATGGCACTTCGCAAAATTTTCAATTCTCCGATTCTATAATTATATGCAAGTATTCCTTCTAATTTTGAAAATCCTCGTTAAATAGCCCTTAACTTGTCGTAATTGTCACTTCGTGAGATCCGACGAGAATAACAGTTTCAATTACGGATTTCGCCGCGGCGAGAAATTGACATTCGATTGCGAAATGCGAATGCACTCACCTACCGTGATATACGTTTCCGGACGCGTTGGCGTATTTTTCGAGTAAACCGCCATCAACAGTCGCGGCGAAAAGCGTCAGAAGTGCCAGGAATACGATCATTATGACTGGCTCGCGCCGCTAAATCAGCCCGAATACGTGCCTGAAGTTGCCGGATGTCGGTGAACAGCGAACGAACGAAGTTGTTTCGCGAGAGCATATCCGGCTATACCGTGTATACAATGGCCGGAAAGGCAAGCGCTCTGTTTATGCATCGATCTGACTAATGACATCGATAAGCCAATTAAAATGCAATGGCACAACTGTGAATACATGTATGTACACATTGCACTGATATGTCCACAAATATTTCATATTTTGACAAACATGATCGTATATATAACTTGTTACATTACATGAACAATTCGTGAGGTGATTCGCGCACGTGCACGCGATAGAGAGAGAGATAAAGAGAAAGATACTGAATAAAATATTAATTTAAGCTGAAGTAGATAATTAATTTGAGGAAGATTAATCAAAATAAAAAAAATACAGTATAATATTATAATTTAAACAAATTACAATATTATAAATTTGTACGAATCAGGAATATAGAATATTAAATTAAGTTATTATTAAGTATCCTAACATATATATTAAAATTAATTTATCGTTCGTTTTATTATTATGAAGAGGCTTCTAATTTACGAACATTAATTTACGAATATTAATTTACGAATATTACGGTCATATTGGTACTATATTATATTGGTACTGCACATTTTGACGCAGATACGGAGTAGATGAAGGTAGAAAAAGGCTAATACAAAAATTAAGCTTTTAGTGGCGTGCAAATTTCGCTCGTTACGAAGTCATTTTCCGATCGGGCATCGAGAAAGCAATCCTCAATTTTACGGTATTACGATATTCGATATTGCATGCTCGTTATGTCGCCCATCCAGGCCTTACTCAGTGAACTACCTCGTACATGACCGCATTATCGGAAAACGAGAACGAGAGAAGCAACAGACGAATTGAAACCTAAAAATTCGTGCGAACGATTCGGTACGACATTTAGATTTCACAGAAGAGTGAGCCACGTTTAAAGAGTTAGGAGCGGACGTGGTGCAGTACGTGAATATTATCATTCGCATTATCGACGACGTTCATCCAATTTTACGCTTAGCTTGCAATAACGGCATTTTGCATACACTTGTTGCACCTGGTTTAATGCCAATGGTAGAAAGAAAAAAATGCCGATGTCAAGAGACGGTTCAATGGTCCTTTTAAAGGATCATAAAAACAAAAAATGTAGATAATGAATAAAATCTTGTGATCGTTCTTGCTTTACAAAAATCGTTATCTTAAAACTTAAATTAAAACCATATTACATGATGTAAATACTCGAAAAAAGATAAACATATTACATTTTCTAATATTATTTTACATCTCAGCTCATGTCGATTTTAATACTTTCTCGTAACGGAATAATTTTGAACTTAAAAAATTATCAATTTAGAGTTAAAAATATTACTACACAAAAATATTTAGAAAACAATTTGTGCGGTTTCAGCAACTTCAAAAATACGTACGAGCACTTGCTACAAAAATTATATGTTACTTCTCAGCTCGAGTAACGGATGCGTGTGCGCGTAAGTCTGCGTACGGCCATGTCCGAATCGGGCCAAATATGGACCGAATCGGCCTCCGGGACGAACCTGATAGTTTAATCTTAGTTTATTTTTTGGCCGCGTCAAACGAGCAAGAACAATCGATGCTTTGTTATCCGTTAAAGCCCGAAGCCAGTAAATCAGAACGCTTCCACAGACGCCGCTTCTTTACCTGCGCGCGAGAACCGGCAAGAATGGTGCATAGGTAATCGATGACTTTGCATATAAACCATAATAATAACATCATAAATTTCCAGGCCAAAGAGAGAGAGAGAGAAAGAGAGAGAGAGAGAGAGAGAGAGAGAGAGAGAGAGAGAGAGTTCGATGAATAAATTAAACAACGCGCGGGCCGGCCGGCTCGAATCAGCGGCGCCATCGATCAGCGATCGCAACGGCTTTCCATTGAGGACAATGAATAAATTACGGGATGATATCCTACAATCGGCAGGATCCATTAACGTGGACGCTAAAAATTCGCTGGACCAACCGGTCCGTAGAGCACAACGGCCGCTTGCAAAATGAACACGTTACTCACGCTAAAGCAGCTTTATTTTTCTCTGTTGCGAAAGTGCACAGCGGGACGAGCTCTCATTAGGATCCACATCTATAATTTATTCTCTACATTAGGGGTTTCCGACGCGACGTATCTATGAGGGCATACATTGTACGGGGCTATATAAAGTATCGTAAATGCTAGGTTTTCGTATTCATTTCTAATATCGTTACGGCCACGTCTCTTTACATCTTCTATTTTTCGTTATTATCTGTTATATGCACGGGTAGGTATCTTATCGTCGCGTACACACTCTTAAGAGCCCCTGCACCCAGCTCCGATATGTAAATATATAGTATCCCCTCTCCTTCGCTCGCCTCCTCCGTCGTTTTGCCGTGTCAACCCTGCGGATATACCCATCCGCGCATGAAAGGCGTGGATGGGAAGCTACGGGTGGTCTTTTCGCGCTCATCACTCCGGCTGTCGATGACAACCGGTCGTTGGCCGGTTGGATAATTAAGGATTTACCTGCAAGCGCCGGGGGGGAAGAGAACGTGCTAAATTGCCGGGACCTGGGATCCTATAGGGATGACGCTGGCGCGCACCGAGCGAAGAGCGCCCGGAGGCGATGCGACGGGTCCCGTCGACGCGACGTTGTCGCCGGTGGCGGCGGCGGTGGCGGCGGCGGCGGCGGCGGCGGGGACGGGGAAACTCGCGCATCAGCATGTCGGGAGCTACGGCCGGTTATTCGTTTCGCAAGCGTGAACCGCGTATTAGCGACGTTAAACGGTCGACGACAAACGGACGCGCGAGTGCGCGCCCGTCCCGGGAGGAGCGAGAGAAGCCGTCTCACTGTTATTTACGGTCGTAACTCGCGGATTTTGCATAAACGGCTCGTTGAACGAGAAAGAGAGAGATTAGGGTGTCCCGACGGACTTCCTTCCTCAAGATCCCGCCTAATTCCTGTTTATATGACACCGGGGCGCGGCCGTGAAAGCGCGAAAAGGGAGAATAGAGTCCAGCCTTCTTGTGGGCGAATTAAATGACATTTACGCGACACTGCGAGCGCGACGCGTTGGCTCGTTTTTGCAATCCTGTCGGATTAAGATGACGATTACGATAGAAGACGTAGCGCGAAAAGAGCCTCACTGTTTACTCATTCCGTCATCGTTCCAACTATTCCGGTCAGTATCGGCGTGCTGCGTGCTCGATTTGACGACGATTGACTTGACTCGTGAAAACTGTCGATGGCCGCGCGCGCTCACGTCTTCGACCTTCCTCGAAAGCCGTCGAATTCAAATTAGTGCTATCGCACCGGCTGCCCATGCAGACGCTTTACACGTTGCTGAATACCGGCGAGTATCCCGCCTGTCATGCACATGAATGGAGACTCAATGCATCTTGGCGGATACGCTTCGGTAGACTTAATCAAACGTACACCGACCAGGCCAAGAGTTAATTCAACGCTACGGCCGATCGTTTGTCATACACACGAAGGACGGAGTCCACACGGCGCGCGGGGTTTGAGTTTTACCGGAGCACGCAAAAACGACGTCCGCTGCGAATAGAGTGGGTGGTCTCGCGTCTCCGACGGTCTCTCTCTCTCTCTCTCTCTTTCTCTCTCTGCTCGCGAGCGATATCGAGACACCGCCGCTTTGCCAGAGATAGCACCTACGACGAGCAATAAAATCAGTACCGCGGAGCACGCCCTACTCTGTCGGCCCTCTCCTGCAGCCTCTCGAGACTATAAACTCATGAATAATACGATGAAGCCGCGATACCATCGGGCCACCGGGTATAAGCGCCGTGGAAGTCGCAAACACAGCGACCGACGGTGCTAACTAATCGGGCCACGGCGCGGCGGCGGCCGGATTTATCGCTCATCCGCGGAGTTGAATTACCGCTTTGCTTGCGAATTGTCGATCGATTTCGACGCGGTGATCGCATATTCATTATTAGACCGGCGTTATCGTCCAAGTTGCGCTTCGTAGATAAGCGTGCAGTGCGCCGTAGACGTATAAGCTTTTTTCCTCTTTCTCTCTCTCTCTCTCTTTCTTTATGTTAGCATAATATTTCACCATCGATCAATCCTGCTTCGATTTATCGCCTGTCTCGACGCGACAGCGTTAAAGGTCGCTGCAATTCCATCGAGTCCGCCAGTTGGTGTGTCGCTGAAAATCCGTGACACGATTCCGCCGACGACAAGGAGCCAAAGCACAAGCCTGCGTCCTCGCTTCTCCTCTCCCGGGAGAAAACCAAGCGGAAAATTAATTGTCCGCGAAAGATATACGACTTAGGACGACGACTTTCTTGATAATAAGCAGGTAGCTATTCGATAGCTATTCGCACGTCCTATCGAACTCGCCGCTTCGCGTGGGCCGGTCATTCGTGGATTTTAGAATCGATACGACCTTCGGCTGCCGCCGCCGCCGCCGCCGTCGCCGACTGCTGGGTAAGATCAAGCGGCGCGCCGATAATGCGGTATCTGCGCGCGTAAATTGATAATCGTACCAAGCGCGCATAAAAGCGTTAAAAGTAGTAAAAGTACTTTCCATCCGACGCATCATGGCTATACATTAGACGACTTCAAAGTAAAAGATAAGAATTCTCGAGAGCGATTCTCGCAATATCCTGTGCGCCTCTTCTTCTTTTACGAGAGATACACGTGTACTGCTACATCGGTTATTTAAGATATCCTTGGCATTACGTGTTCAAATAGCGATACATAGTATGTAAGTATATACGTACGTGTTAAATAATTGATGAGATATGTGTTTTCCAATCTATTGAATTGTACAAAAATGCGCTTTGCTGAACTGAAATCTTCTTTATTCCTCGATAGTTTCAGTTCCAACAATTGTGTCTATCTGCCGTATCCGTTCAACCGTAACACGTAAAGGAACTATCTTTTTGAAGGCAGCTACGGTTTGTTGCGCGTTTTGGCTTCCTTAGCGGGAGAT